AGAGCAGCCTGGTCTACAGAGTGAGATTTAGGACAGGCACCAAAGCTACATGGAGAAACCCTGTCTTGAAAAAAAAAAGAAAAAGAAAAAGAAGAGGCCCATGGCCCTTGTTCCCATGGTGTCCTGCCACTGTCCCCCTGGAGTGGGTTACACTTGCACGAAGTCTTCTTTTATTGTTGTGCTCTCATGTCCAGAGTCAGTACTTGTTGCCAGCTACCAGCAAGAAGGCAGGTTAGGTCAGGGGTACTTGGGAACCCAGCCTGGCTGTCCGTGCCTCTCCTTTTCACTTTTCCCACTGCCGGTCAAGGGTAGAAAGGGGATTCTTTTTTTTTTTTTTTTTGGTTTTTCGAGACAGGGTTTCTCTGTGTAGCTTTGCGCCTTTCCTGGAGCTCACTTGGTAGCCCAGGCTGGCCTCGAACTCACAGAGATCCGCCTGGCTCTGCCTCCCGAGTGCTGGGATTAAAGGCGTGCGCCACCAACGCCCGGCGAAAGGGGATTCTTGCAGGGAGCTCCAGAGGGAGGGGAGGCTTGGCCCCTGCAGGAAGTTGTTCACCTTCCTGAAGCAGGGGTAGACATGATGAGAGGCACCCACTGTGCCTTCTGGTTCCCTACCTCCTGGCAAGAAGAGATGCGGTATTTGATTCAAGGCTGGATTCAGTCTTTCTTTAAAATTTAGGCAAGTTTTGGTCATAGATTTTGACAGTCATGATTTTTAAAAGGTATTTTACGAAAAAAAATTATTTTTCTTTTGTGACAGGGTCACTATATATCGCCATGGATGTCCAGAACTCACTGTGTAGTCCAGGCTGGTCTTGAACTCATAGAACTCTACCTGCCTCTGCCTCCCAAGTGCTGGGATTAAGGTGTGAGTCAACATGCTTGGCTCAAAAACAAGTTTTTTTTTTTTTCATTTTGAAGCTTGGTTTTACTTTATACAGATTACTTTATACATGATGCCATGTTTTCTTCCTCTTAAAATAAAAAGGTACTTTATTGTTGATATTACAGAAAACATTTGAGAGATCTTAATCTTTTTAAGAACAGGTTTTTTTTTTAAATATAAAAGTTTATAAGGCTATGGGACATTTTCAGCTTATAAAATGCTCTATATTGTTAATATTTAGACTTAAAATAAAAGGCTAAAAATTAGGGTCACAGCCATAAGCTCCAAATGTTAACCAGAAACTGGGATGTTCATTCCTTTTGATTCAGCAAGACACTGACCTAAGCAGTCTGACAAAGGGCTTGAAATAGCTTCTGACTCCATGAGTCTTCACCCTTTGGGAGTTAAAAAACAAACAAACGACTTTTTACAAGGGTGGCCTAGGACTACCTGTATGTCAGATGTTTGCATTGAGATTCAACAATGGCAAAACTTCAGTTATAAAATAGCATTGAGATAGTTGAGAACCAATGACTTAGAGAATGTTTCTCCTTACCCAAGGCACATTCAGGCTTAAGAATGTTGTCTATCCTTGTATTTGCTAAATTTGTTAAGCTTAAGCTATTTAGATAAACTGATTCATATGTATACACACACACACACACACCACACACACACACACACACACACACACACACACACACACGTGTGTGTGTGTGTGTGTGTGTGTGTGAGCTTATCTCTCTCTCTTTTTTTTTTTTGAGTCAAACCAAAACTTATTATAAGCCACAGTCATCCTAGGGTCCCCCCTGCTGTGTAGCCTCCCTGGTTCTGTGGGTTGCAGTCTGATTGTTCTTTGCTTTATATCTAGTATTCACTTATGAGTGAATACATACCATGTTTGTCCTTCTGGGTTTGGGTTACCTCACTCAGGATGATATTTTCTAGTTCCAACCATTTGCATTCCCACCAACAGTGGAGGAGTGTTCCCTTTGCTCCGCATCCTCTCCAACATAGACTTTCATTAGTGTTTTTGATCATAGCCATTCTGACAGGTGTAAGGTGGTATCTCAGAGTCAATTTGATTTGCATTTCTCTGATGATTAAGGATGTTGAGCATTTCTTTAAATGTCTTTCAGCCATTTGAGATTCTTCTTTTGAGAATTCTCTGTTTAGCTCCATAGCCCATTTTTTAATTGTACTGTTCGGTATTTTGATGTCTAGTTTCTTGAGTTCTTTATATACTTTGGAGATCAGTCCTCTGTGAGATGTGGGGTTGGTGAAGGTCTTTTCCCATTCTGTAGGCTGTCTTTTTGTCTTATTGACTGTATCTTTTGCCCTACAAAAGCTTCTCAGTTTCAAGAGGTCCCATTTATTAATTGTTGTGCTCAGTGTCTGTGCTGCTGGTGTTATATTTAGGAAGTGATCTCCTGTGCCAATGCATTCAAGAGTACTTCCTGCTTTCTCTTCTATTAAGTTCAGTGTAACTGGATTTTATGTTGAGGTCTTTGGTCCACTTGGACTTGAGTTTTGTGCTTGGTGATAGATATGGATCTATTTGCAATCTTTTACATGTTGACATCCAGTTATGCCAGCACCATTTGTTGAAGATACTTTCTTTTTTCCATTGTATAGTTTTGGCTTCTTTGTTAAAAATCAGGTGTTCATATGTGTGTGGATTAATGTCAGGGTCTTCAATTTGATTCCATTGGTCCGTATGTTGGTTTTTATGCCAGTATCAAGCTGTTTTTATTACTATAGCTCTATAGCAGAGCTTGAAGTCAGGGATGGTGATGCCTCCAGAGGTTGCTTTATTATACAGTATTCTTTTAGCTGTCCTGGGTTACCTCACTCAGGATGGTATTTTCTAGTTCCATCAATTTGCCTGCAAATTTCATGCTGTCATTGTTTTTCTCTGCTGAGTAGTACTCCATTGTGTATATGTACCACATTTTCTTAATCCATTCTTCAGTTGAGGGGCATCTAGGTTGTTTCCAGGTTCTGGCTATTACGAATAATGCTGCTATGAACATAGCTGAGCATGTATCTTTGTGGTATGATTGAACATTCCTTGAGTATGTGCCCACAAGTGGTATGGCTGGGTCTTGAGGTAGATTGATTCCCAATTTTCTGAGAAACGGCCATACTGATTTCCACAGTGGTTGTACAAGTTTGCATTCCCACCAACAGTGGAGGAGTGTGAACATTTCTCAATGTCCTGCTGCAGGTACTCAGGAGTTTCTTACAGGCACAGTCCTAAGAATGGAATTGATGGCTCACTGGGTGTGTCAGGCTTGCAAAATAACACTCAGGTGTTTTCCAGAGTGCTCACAGCAATTTACTCCCACCAGCCGGGACCAGGTCCTGTAGCTCCATCTGCTCAACATTTGGTATTGTCTGATTTAAGATTTTTGCCAATCAGCTAGGCGTTAATGGCACTTGTTTTTCTGATTTCTAATGAAAGTGGAGCCTTTCCATGTGCTATTTTGAAATCCTCTCTTGTGGCTGCCTTTCAGATTTTCTACCAAGTTCCTGATTATGTGTCCTCTTTTCTTTTTGCAATACTAGGGATTGAATCCAGGGCCTCATGAATGCTAGGCATTCTGCCACAAGACTACATCCCCAGTCTTCGTCCCCCTTTTGTGTGTGTGTGTGGTGGTGGTGGTGGGGTGATTCTTTTGCCTATACATGTGGAGGCCAGAGAAGAGCAGCATCTTCTCTATCACTGTCCACTTCACTTATTGAGAAGGACTCTCACTGGACCTGAAACTTTCAGCCAGGCTGGCTGGCCAGTGAACTTCTGGATCGCTGCTCTACAACAATGGGGTGATGGTGTTATGGGTATGTGCAGCCATGCCCGTTTTTTATGTGAGTGCTATGGATTTGAACTTGGGTACTCTTGCTTTCACGGCAAGTGTTTACTCCCTGGCCATCTCTACAGACCACTTTCTTTTGGAGATAGAATCTCATGAACCCTAGACTGGCCTAGAACTTGCTTTGTAGCCAAGGATGACCTTGAACTTCAGATCCTCATATCATCCAGTCATGATTATATAGAGGTATGTACCACAACACTACCAACTGAGCCACATCCCAGACTTTTTCTGGACAGCAGCTCTGGTATGTATTCTGGGTGAGGATTTTACTGATAAAAATACTCTCACCCACTCCGTGCTCATCTCCTTACTCGGGTTTTAGATTTAAGTTTCTAGTATTAATGGAGACCATCTTATTAACATTCTCTCCATTGTGAGATCATGAACGTTTTCTCATGCTATGCCCAGTCCTGTACTGTCATTCTTGCTTTCCTGGATAGTAAACATGCAGAAAAGCATTTCATTTGCCTCATAAGCAAGTCACCGCTCAGTGATGCTCTTCTGTTGGAGAAACGAACACCAAGCAGGAATGAGTGTTAAACAGCATTTTACCTGGTCCTCACAAGCCTCATCCACGAGGGAACCAAGGCTCAGAGAACATGGGTTGCATGACACAGAAACACTCTCCCAGTTACAGTCTGAGTTCTATTTTCTTTCAGCAAGTTCATGGGCAAATTAGCTTTTCTGAGTCCCAAAATCTCTTCACCTCTCCAAAACAAAAATATTAAAAGTGTTTTCAAATGATGTTAGTTTCAGGCTGGTTCACAGTATGAGTTTGAAAACAATGGGATTGGAATTTAGTTTTCAAGTTTAACTCTTTCGTTTCTCTGATAGCTGGGCAAACAGCAAAAATCCCACCCATTCTTCCCAGAGGCTGAGAACTCACATGATGACTGGCAGGTGAACTCTTACCCACATCCTATCCACCTCTTCCTGGTACCTTTGACTCCTACTGACTTTTCCACCAGGTGCTGCCTAGACCAACTGTTGACATCTGGAAGCCTGCAGCCTACCTGGCTCCCAGGAAGAAATCAACCCACAGTCTCTCCCACATTATTCAGGAATTGGGACACCTAGGGCACCTGCCCAAGGCCCACATGGCTAGGGTGGCTCCCTTTTGGGAGGGAAAAGGGAAGCCACCAGTTTCGGTCTGCACTGATAAGGAGTGAGGTGGATGTGTTCAGCCCCTGGTGAAGACACAACTCCCAGCCTATCTGCTTTCCAACACAGAACACCAATCATGAAGGCCACCGACTTTATTAATCTAAAACTCTTTTTATAAGAAGTTACTATTTTTGCCAAAAACAAAAAACAAAAACAAAAAGGAGCCAAAGGGCATCCAATAGATTGTGAATGGAAGGAGAAAGGGTCCAGGAATCCATTCAGGAAAGCTGGTAACTGTTGCCATGGAACTTTAGGGGAGGGGTGGCAAGACATGCAAGGGGGAAATTCCAAAAAGATTGAAAATGCTGAGGGGAGAGAACTCCCCAAAGACCTGGAGCACATAGGAGGTGAGCGAGAGACAACAGCAATCTTCTCCTTCATGGAGGACGGGGAGAAGCCCCACCCGGCTTTGGACTCTGGAGACTCGGTTCTGTGGCTGGGGGGCTGAGGAGTCCCCAGAGTACATTACAAGAAGGCGTCACACCATTCTCGAAGGCACCCAAAGCAGTCTCGGGACTGCTTGGCATTGGCACCACACGTGTCTTTCAGCCACTCTCGGAAGAGGTCTTCATCTTTCTTTAGCACCAGAAACTGGCCGAGAACCACATAAGCCTGCAGACAGGAAAGGGCACACGGCTAAGTGCCTCTTGGACTAAAGCCACGAGACAATGTCATACCACCCCGAAGGGGCTGGATCTCTGAAGCCAGGCAGGGTCAGTTGTGAGTACTTGAGAGGCAGGCCCATTTCTGTTCTGGTTGTTTTGCTTTGCTGTCTAGACTGGCATTAAACTCGATGGGAATCCTTCTGCCTCAACCTCCCAAGTGCTGGGGTCATAGGGACCCACTATGCCTAGTGTCACTTCTGAGACATTGAAAACACATAAAGGGGTAGGGCACGCACAGTGGGGCACTCCTTTAAGCCCAGCAAGTGTGAGGCAGAGAGACCCTGTCTCAAAAAACCAAAAACACACAAAAATGACCTTGCCTCCCCCGCTGCCGCCAAACCACCTCAAGTGATCTACCCCGTCCACACCCTCCCCAAACCCCTACATTTCCTCACTTCCACTCTTTTTGCTTGGAAACGTCTGTTGCCAGCTTTCACTCTAGCCCTCCCTGGCGTTTGTGACCACCCCACACCTTGTCAAAGCCCCTTTCCTCCAGCTTCTTGCCCAGGACTTCACCAATCCCGGCCAGGCTCCCCACTGGCTTTTCCCCCATGGGCTCTGCCACGAAGTCTCGGTGCTTTTGGGAGGTTGTCATCTTGATCAGGTTTAACCTGGGAATCCCAAAAAAAGGCAGGTTAGGGCTGAAGAGCACAACTCCCCGGGGCAATCTCCTCGGCCAGCTACTGTGGCTGCTTCCTCGATTTCCCCCATTGCACACCCGAGAAAACCGAGGGCCAGGGAAGGCCTTTCCCGGCGACTCCGAAATCTCCACTTTCGGTGCGGACCCGCTGCCAATACCAGCTTGGACTACCAGGTGGCGCACGCAAGGCGACGGGAAGATTCCCGGACTCCGGAGCCAGGGCCCGGCCAGGAGCTGTCACTCTCGGTGACCTCGGTGACACTGACCCCGCGGGGAGCGACCACGTGGTGAGGACAGCAAACAGGGGGTCTCGTTACCCTCGCCGCCCGCACAGGCCCCGGGGCCGCGCACCCGCACAAGCCCGCCAAGCCCACGCCACG